TAAAATGCAAAATACTCAAAACATGTAGCTAAAAATCATTTCTTCAGGCAGCAAAGGCTTGACATGCAGCATAAGACAATTACGAGCTATATTCAGCATGAAAGTTAGGCACAAACAGACAACAAAAATAAAATATGACTCAAAGATCAACATAATCATGATATCTATTTCCCGAAATCACGTATGACCATAAGGGGTCAAATGCACCTACAACGCCCAAAAATGCCGTCTATGTAGGGAACTCGTTAGATTTTGAGACACAGTCTGCAAGTCATGAATGCAAATAGACAAACAGATTCGCCTAAAACCTTTACAAAAAAGCATGTGGTAAAAGCATGGTACTGTAATGCTTACATATACAGGTGCATCTCAATAAATTAGAATGTCGTGGAAAAAAAGTATATATATATATATATATATATATATATATAACCAAACATAGATTGACCTAATGTAAAAGTTAATGACCTGGAAAATAGAAAAAAAAAAATCTGAACACTATTCTGAATATTAGGGAGACTTGTCCCTTTCATTGGTTATGTAAAAAGTACCAAGTAACATGGTACTGCCATGTTTTTTTTACACGTACCATGGTATTACCATCACTGACTGTACCATAGTACTGCCACAGTACTGTTTTGTAAGGTTATGGTTGTTGCTGCCCTATATACCATGGTGCTGAAAGATTACCATATTCATGTACCGTGGTATTTAACGCGAATTCCCCTCAAGCAAGAGTGATGCGTGTCTCACAACAGATACAAAGGCTATACCAACATTTTTCCAATACTTTGTTTTTTGCTGAACTCCTCAGTCGCCTGTTTGTATATTTTTTAAAACGCTTGGTTTAATGGCATCTTCAAAATTACCAAATTCAAATATATTTTAATAGTTAATACTTTTTTTTCCAATGAACAAAGAATATGCACAGCAAAAACGAAAAGAGAAAAGGCACAATGCTTTTAAGACGTACCGAATTTTGAACACAAGTAATATTATAATAAGCGATATATGCTCTTACCTGCACGAGACGGTGATCTCTATTTTGGTGGCAGGTACGCTGCTGTTTAACGGGTCAAACTCCCCGATCGATGCCATTGCAGCTCCTCGGGAGTTTGAGTTAAGTCTTCAAATGACTCAAAATCTGGGTCTCACTCGTCTCAGGCGTCACACTTGCAATATAGCCCACCAAACTGGCGCAGAGATACGGCTTTCCTTACAATTTGGACAGAGCGAGCATCATCGGACCGTCTGAGTCTGACCCCCTCGCGCACCTGAGGAGACAGCGCGTTTGATCGGCAGGTAGGTAGAGTCTGACTGGACCTCCTCTCGCCCTCCCTCAGCGCGAACACTCCGACTCCGCTTTGAAAACTTAAATTGAAAACATCCATTTTTTATATTACAGAAGCCATACAATATTTATGAGATGTGGTGTCAAGATATGGATCAAACCTTTGGGGACGTTTAATCTATTGATGTGGGGAAACGATTTTTCAAATATGGTTTTCCAAACGCCCACGGCTTTTAAAATCCGGTTGAGCTGTGGTAAACGTCGATGTTGCGCAGTATAAATAACAAAAATACTCCAGTATTCCTCAGCACCACATGTCAATACACGAGTTATGAATCGGAAAGCGCTATGGCTGTGTCTCAAAATCTAGTGAGCTGTCTGCATAAACAGCATTAAATGTTCGATTTACACGTCTAAGCGCACCTATGTTGTTCAAAAATGCTGTCTAAATTAACACAAATACACCAAATATTTTTTTTAAGTACCATAATACACGAAAACGGTAATCGTTCATACAAAAGCACTATTGTATTTTATATTAATAAATTAGTTACTATTGTTTTGCTGGTAGCCTAAATTAGACGTTGGCTTTGTCTCAAAATCTAGCGAGCTGCCAAAATAAATAGCATTTTTGGCCATCAAATGTTCGATTTAAACGTCTGAACGCACCTGATCCTCAAAAATGCTGATAACAAAAAAGTAGGCCACCATAAATATAGCCTACATTCCATAATACCGTTGTACACTAAAGCGGTAATCATTCACTATATCAAAGGACCAGTTTATTTATTTATGAGACGGGCATTTTTTATAGCAATGAATTTATTGTTTTGACAATAAATCAGAAACGGCTTTGGTTTTGTCTCAAAATCTAGTGATCCGTCTACCTAGACAGCAATTTTGGGTATACTATGGTTGAATGTGTGCTTAAGTGGCTCAAAAATACAGTCTAAACTATTTAAGTCAAATTAAATAAACAAATAATGGAATGGCATAATTAAAAATTAAATCTTTCAGTACATCAAAGTAGCTTGATATATTATTGATATATCATCATTACCATAGCATGATACCTTAACAGTACTTTTTATAAGGAGAAATGTACCCAACATTTGAACTATCAAAATGTTTGATTCAAAAGTATAAATGCACGTTACGCAAAAATGGTACACTAACAATAACCAGCTGTGGTCCATGCATTTTCATTTAAAAAACAAAAACAAAAAATAAATAAAACATTTTTATAAAAACATTTTAAAAATGGTATTACTATGATACTATGTCACAGCAACTACAGAAATATTAAAGAACAT